CAAAAAGTTTATTTTGTTAAGTGCTAAATGCAAAATTAAATAAGATTTACAAGGAATTACTTAGGCAAACCATGATCACAAACAGTCGGCAAACCATGTCTGAATACTATTTTTAACCACTAAATTGTCATTCATAATCTCAAGACTGTTTTGAATTTTGAATCAGTTCAAAAGTAGTAATTCACAGATGGTCTTCTCTAATGCCACAGCAAGTACATTTCCCAGTGTACTCAATTTGCAGCTCACCAGTTATAAACAAAGTGTAGAAATTATCAAGAAATTTGATGAAAAATCAATTTATCAATAAATTTGGAATTTAAAGATTTCAGAAATTACAGTGAAGAAGCTCAACAATCATACCCAAAATTTAAAGCTATCTGCATCACCTCTCATTGCAACAGAGGAATATTAATCAAAAACTACACCAAAGAAATGATGAATCTTTTTACTTAAAGAATGAGAGAAAATAGAATCAAGTTTTATACCTAAAACGTAAATTTTATAATATATGAATGAATATAAAGCACCATTTTGGTTAGCATGATACTACTTTCTTATTAATTGCAAACACAATAATTGTTAGAAAGAAAATTCTGTCTATAAATCTACATTTTTAAAAAACTGTTAGTCATACAAAATTCATATAAACATGTAATCTCTTGAAAACAGTCTTGCAGCTCAAAATACAAGAAAAAGCGAAAATTGAAGCAATAATGTAATATAGAAGTAATTAATTATTACATTGAAGGAACGCATACATCATTGTGAAGTAAAATAAAAAATGGCATCTTTAAATGCTTAAAAGATATTCAAACCTTCTGAACAATAAATGTTTTCATGTAAAAAAAATGTTCAAAAGATGTATGCAGGCTGCACATCTTGCAGCCATGGATATGACAGTTGCCGAACTATGGAAAAAAATAGCTGAACAATAAACGTTCCCTAAGAGAATCCCTTTATATCGATCAACATAGGGCATTTTATTTAATTGCTGTATCACTGCATGTTGAAAATGGGAGAAAAAACTATTTTTAAAGATAAAGATGTTTTAATTAATTAAAATGAAAAGGCAATACTTTTACGTACATGTTATATAGCGTACTGTACAGTACTTAAAAGTACTGAAAGTCATTGCTTGTTGGACATCTCGGTCAAAGTAAGTTATTTGACTGTTTTCAACCGTTTTCGGGCAGCCAAGTCGCCCATCCGCTTGACAATGAGAAGTGCATGTGGTCGCACTCGGGTATAAGAAGTTCGACACTTTCTTCTCTCACACTTTCAATAAGTTCATCATCATTTAGAATTTGAAACCCAGGGTCTCTGTCGAATCACACACCATCCATTCTGCTGTTCCTCAGCACTAACTTCTTCTGAACAATCATGGAAAAATCTTTTGAAACAAAGAATGTTTCTTAATTCAAGTGACATCTTCTCCTGTCTCTTCCTTTTCCTGTTCTTGACCTCCGTTTTCCTTTTTCTCCTTTTCCTTCTCTTGTTCAGTTGATTCTTAGCAATTGGTATAGTCGGAGTTCGGGTAATTCGAGTTGTACTATAATTAAAAAGCTTATAAAAAGTTCTGATACTTTCAACTTTCCTGATTTTTCAAGCAAAACTGTCTATAAAATATCCTCTTTTGAGTAAATTATAACAGTTGAACAATTGGATATCATGGTGCTCATACAGCCTTTATAAACATTCGTTTGTGAAACATTTCCATTAATTATACCTTTTTAAACATATGTATTGATATATGTCTGAATGTTTTCGACCTAGCTCCATCTTTTACACCTATAGGCTTCTTAAATGACATTCTGATGAGCAACAGTACGTTTGAATGCAAAAATTAATAGGACTGTAAAAAAAAACAGTTTCGGTTGCAGCGTAAACAGTTTTGAACCTGAAGGGCTATTAAGAGCACCGCTCTGGTTTCATATCCATAAACCAATGCGAGCAGATTCAAAATAATCTGAATTAAAAAGGCACAATCTGCATTTGAAAAAGGCGGCTGCAGTTTTAATTAAAAGAAGGTAAACTGCCTGGCCAAAAGATTTCAGTTGCGTCTACATTTTTTATGAAAAGTTAATTGAAATATACCATGTAAGGAATGATTATTATGTTATTTCTATAAATTCAGTTTCACCTATCAAGGAAAAAAAAAAGAGGAATGAAATCACAGACGAATTTATTTTACAACTAGTTTTATACATGGAGCTCTAATTTTTAACTTCAGTCCTCAAAACAACAAAGCAATAATGTTCTAACTTTACAGTTCTTAATGGTCCCAAAAGGCAATTTTTATTTCATATTTTTTTGTCTTATCATTTTAAACATAATTTCATTTCAACAGCATTTATGTTGCCGTTATGTTGCCTCCGTACATGTTACATACAGGATGCGGCTACCAGCCTAGGTGCCTGACAAAAGTGTGCAAACAGCACACTGCCTTCAACAGCCTTCAACAGCATTTCTGCTAATCTTCCTCGCTGTTGAAAGTACTATTTTGATACTCTATTAAAATTTATTCCAGGTAACTTAAATTCAATTTAAAGATTTAATAAGAAGCAAATAATATAGCCGTATATATATAAATATAGATACAGATATAGATATAGATATATTTTCATATCTGAGAATCCTTTCAATATTTTTATTCTTTGGCATTTACTCGTCATTTAATCGTTAGCTTTACTAGGCCATTTATGATTTAGGATTTCATTTTTAGTTTATGTTTCAATTTTAGTTTCTATTTGTAGTACTTTATTTGCATTTTTTAACTTTATGTGGCTTAGAAAACGCAGACATGTCGGGAAAAGAGGCAAATATAATGAGACTTTATATTTGCCTCTTTTCCCGACATGTTCACTTTTGTTCAGTTTAAACTGGAAAATAATTTTGAGTTCATTTAATACCGTTTGAAGTCTGTGAATTTGTCGGACGAAATATGTTTGCGTGGTCCAGTTAATTAGCTTGGTTTGAGGCTTCAAAACACTTTTCCCTTGAGAAGTTCTGTTTGAATCTTTGAACAGAGGGGATTGACAAAATATTTTTGTACTCGAATTTTTTCTGTTGCTTTTAAGAAGTTTTTTAGCTCATTATACGTAAGATAGGTTAAGTGTTTTTAACGGATTTTTCTAGGTTTTAAATTCCTTTCCTATTTAAATTCATTTAAAAAAGTCAGTAGCTCAAAGCGCTTTTTTTGACTAGATACGTCTACTTTCTGTTTTTTTTTTTTTTTTTTTTTTTTTTTTTTAATGCATTTTTTTTATTTCTTTATTTCCTATATAATATATATAATATAAAGATTAAGTTAGAACCAATTTTTCACAAAGACCAGAATTTGAATTTCATCATAAGTCTTTATTGATGGTTTTTTAGTGGCTTAATACGCGAAAATCTAGGCATGATTATATTTTGTTTTTAAAAAAATCGTTATGCAATTATATATATATAAGGAATGATTTCTTTAACTATACCTATACATACATGCACACAACATGATATTACTTGCTATAAATGTATGCAAAATGCATTTATTTTCAGTTTATTTTAAACTACTACTTACTCTCCTTGTGACTGTAGGATCCTGACGTGCTACTGACATAAGATGACCTAACAAGGTTTTCGTCCTCATAAACCTGAGGCGAATGTCTGTCGCTTTTGTCCATTCTTGCAAGACCGTCGAATATGAAAAGTTATCAGCATTAGGTCGGTCATTCAAAAGTGAAACAACAATCTGAAAGAAAATATAATTGTAGAAAATATTAAAACGTAGAGTCAACAACATGCTTTCGAAAGTATTCCGAAATAATTACAAGTAATACTTCGTGATTTCATTTCTTGCTATAAATTTCTCATCAACTATGTATGTGTTTTATTAAAATATTTAAAACTTATTCGCACTAAATACACTACGAAGCATTTTAAATGACAGTTTTTCAAATTGAGAAAAAAGATGATTAAAAGCATTACATTTGCTTTGTAACTCAAACATATATTTCGCCTCACTCAAACATTTCAATTAATCAAATAATCCAACTGCATGTTATAATATACTGCACAAACTGTTTTTCCTACACTGTTTCGAGAAACACCATTTAGATAATTTTAACTCGCATTTCTTTACATTAATAATAATAATAATAACGAGTTATGCTGCAGAAATTAGGTAATATGGTTCTCAAAATTTACCGTGAATCGAATATTACACGGGAAAAACAAAAGTATTATTTAAAATTCAGGAGTTAGAATTTATTTTGAAACACTTTAAGTAAATAACAGTTTTTAAAACTAAAGTGTGTCAACCAGTGACATAGCTAGAAATTTTGGACCCTTAGACGAAACTGAAAATAACTATATATACATACTTATATACTAAATGTCATATTGGCGTAGATAATAATCAATTCAAAATCCATTTTAGTCAAATAATTCAGTTTTATTTAATGCTTTTAAACAATTCAAGATCATGTTAATAACAAATAACATTTATTATCAACAAAACTACACAGAAACAATCTCAATAAACATAATTAACTACAAAGAACATGTAACATATTTTTTTTTAAAGTCAATTCCTACTTAGGTCAACAAAGAAAAGTTTCATTTTAGTTACTTTTCATTAATACTACTAGCAGCTACGCTGCCAGTCTTCGTATGGCTTTTAAATGTACCAGAAAAGTGTCTCAAGGGAACACCAAACGTTAAATTAAAAAACTGCGCAAAATTTTATTCTGCAGAACAACTTCATGAAAAAAAAAAAAAAAAAAAAATCACAACTTTTTATAAAAAGTATTATATATAAAAAAATTACAATGAAATAAGCAAATATCCCTTAATACAAATATTAATTATCCTAATAAATAAATTAACCAACTTCCCGTTACCTTCTCTCAACAAACGTCCAGTCAAGAGAAACTTTAAATTTAAAAATTGCACTGAATCATCGCCGTCATTTTTCCAAGTGGCAACAGTACTGATTTTCAACAGCCAGCAGTCGAGTATACAATTGAATGAAAAACTGTTGCCAAAACCACATTTCTAAAGAATGAAAATATTGAAAATGATGCGATAAAATCGAAAAGATAAAATAAAAAAAATAATTCGAATTTTGAAAAACTGGCTTCGAGGTGCCCTGGCTATTGTATAGATGCACCTATCTACCAAATTTCCTAGCCGTGGGTCTATACGCATCTTCTTACGCACAAGCAGGAACGAAAGACACACGGACTCTTTCTTTTATTATATGCGGAGATTAACATTTTACATCGTGCCAGAAGTCCTGAAATTAGTTCGCTGAACATCAGTCTGACTTCCAACACCTTCCCGGGCCACCGCCTAACCCGTATCTTAACCCTATAGAAAATGTGTGGGATATAGTGGAAAGACGTATCCGACAGCACTCTCCTCTTCTAAATAATAAGATCTAAAAAGCTGCATAGCCAATGCATGGTATTGTCTGGACGTAAATGCACTCCAGAAGCATGTTATATCTATCATCCTCATCTCTTTTAGCAACAGGTAAAATTTCCAAACGCAACGTATTTGAAGCTACGCTAATAAGCAGTTCACGGCCTCTACATGCCAAAAGACTTAATACTCTAAAAATACAATTCATTTCTTTGAAGGTGAGCAAAAGTGCTGATCCAGCCGACTCTGTAAATGTCCAGAAGCATGTAGACTCGATGCCCAAATGAATCAGAGCAGTTACCCGTGCAAAAGGTGGTCCAATAAAAAACTGATGTTGTGTTACTAATTCATTGGACAGTGTGTGTATCTCAATACTCCGTACTCGACTCTGAACTGAGAAACTAATACTCTCTCCATGCTTATAAAGTTTTACTCCGGCCGTCGAGAAATCTCTAGTGCCATCCATTTCTCGAAGCTACTGGAAAGCATATACGTTCAAAATTACACATAAGGGCTGGATACGGTTACAGTTACACATAAGGATCAATTGCAATTGTTCAATTACAGTACCAATTATAGTTATGCAGAAATGGACCCAAATAGCGCCAAATGACCGCCAAGTTTGGCTTTTTTGGCAATACCCCGCCAAATTTGGCGACAAAATTTAGTTACCAAAACTATCACCAGCTTGGCGATATCTCGCCAATTTAGCGAGATAGCCATTTACTCAATGTTAGACAGATTTGCCCTGTATTCTTATTTTTCCGGCAGAGCTTCGGCTCTTCCAGGCATTTCATCTTGCATTATAAGAAAGATACTACAATTTCACATATAATTTCACTCAAATTATTTACATATATACAAAATTCGTAACAATAATAATAGTAGTAATAATAATGATAATAATAATAAAGGCGATCTTTAATAGGATATGAGAGAATTTTCTTTGTGGTAGGCATACATTAAAATTTTAATTGTATGCACTGTTATTAAAAGCGGTCACAAAACCAAAATCGTTGTAGTTTAAAAAAAGTTCCCTAATTTACTTATTTATTTTTTTTAATCACTTGTGAATTCGAATGAGATTTATACGTAACACCACATGATAATTCGAAAGCTTTCATAGCCATAGTTGGCAAAAAGTTCTGTCAATGGTTGATAGCTACGGTTGAGATCAATCCCATCACGTAAGTGACAAAAAATCAGAAATTAATTACTTTTCTTTAGGTGAATACTTTTCAGCTATACCAGTGAATATTTTACTAGTAGATGCAACAACATATTGCCACAACCCTGTTTTCACAAATTCTTTAAACTTAAGCCAGTTAAATACAACTTTTCAGATTTGTTATTTGAAGTGACATGAATTTATTAATTTCGCAATCTGTTCAAATGATAAAAATATTGGTGACAACGAAGAATTTCTCAAAAAATACTAAAGAGCTGTGTAACTTTAAAAGGATTTTGCAGCTTTGTCTATTGCAGTTTCCTTGCATAAAACATACTAAGTCAAACAATTCTTAATTTAAAATTAAACATATAAAAAGAGATATTTAAGAGATAACACCGTTTTAAGGAGTTAAATGAAAAGAATATCTACAAAAGTTTAATGAAAGCAGCAACATTAATATTAAATTATGCACTAAAAAGTACCTATGAAACTTTTTTTAAATATCACAGCGTTAATTTAGGTCACTTATTAGGGTTAATTTAGGTCACTTTTATAGCAAAGAATGCAGGATTATCTTTCTTTATGGAAGACATTCTGAGGTGAACTGAGTCGCATTCATGTTGCACATGATGAAAGCTACGAAAACTCTATACAGGCAACCGTGTTTATGACCAAAAATAGAACTACATACCAGTGCGCAACAGCTTTATCCATTCTGTCACTGATGACTTCCATACCTTGAAAACTGATCTTGTTTGTAGCTTACAACTGCTGATTGTAACTGTAGATAGCTTTTTTGAACTACAGACTAGTTTTTCTCCTAGTGATTAAATGGTTATCTCCAGCTTGATGGTACATAGTTGTCAGTGCCAATTTATATGCACATGAAAGATTTTTTCTTTCAAAATATTAAAAAAGGCGGAGAGACAGCAGTTATACTGATAACCCATATAAGTTAGCTATTATTTTTTACCAATTAAATTTATAATAATGCATTTGAATTAAATTATAGAGGAAAAAAATCACTTCGAAATATTTAAAGAACAAAGAAGTAATAAGGTTTTCAGACTCCTGCGAAATTATATGAAGTAGCTGTACATGATAAGGGAAACAAATTAACAACTAATGGTTAGTTTAATTATGGCAAAGTACACAAGGCATATATGCCTAAGAGGAAAGATGCCTTTCGAGAAGGATTTTCTAAGAAAACTTAGCTCGTTTATACGTTACACACGGGCAAAACCACGACAACGCCCATGCAGGCAGCCTGTTGGCCGGGATTCGAGCCACAGACAAAATTACCAGTGTTCAGCGACTTTACCGCTGGTGGACTTCAACGATTCGTGGCAATGAGATGTACTCACGTGGATAAAAATGTAAGGAATGAACTCATTCCATGTGCTGTTGGGATGAATTATATAGCATATCTCCTCCTATAATTTAAAGCGTCCAGGTTAGAGTCCGGGCGAAAACTTGTTTTAACTTGTACTGAGAAACTCCGATTTATGTACTTCTTTTCTAGTACCACCGCCTGGATTAAAATGGTGGGCGACAATTCTTCAGGCCTAGAATGGTAGACCAGAAGTCATTATCCGTCACCTCAGTCCATTTTTAGGCTGGAGAATGTCGAGATTTAAAAAAATCATTACTCTTAAGTGTTTGTACAGAGTAATGGTTAGCTAATCCACCATGTAACTCAAATATTCATAATTCGAACTAGCAAAGATATGGTGTCATTTTCTGAGAAGCCTCATTCCATGTACACTGCGGAAAAAAAGGGGGGACTGTTCCATAACTCCCGTTCTACTGGGCCGAATGACGAAATTCAAACTGCGTTTTCCATGTCTCATAAGCGCGACTTCTGATATGTATTAGATTTATATACAGCATTGTTCTAATATAGGTATTTTGACACAAAATCGGACCTTTTTCTTAAATGAAATGCTAATTTTTCTCCATATTTCGATTCCGCGACTCAAATTATGCCAAACTGCCAGTTTTGTAAAAATCGTACGAGTAGTTTTTAAAACATTAGCTCTCAAAATTTTAGTTCATCAGTGTTAATTCAATTTGGTATGTATTTAATAATATCTATTTTTTTTAATTACACTTATATCATTCCCTCTTTCACAGTTCGAAATTTAGGTTCATTCCAAAACAAATTCATCCATTTTTATGATTTAATTTTTAAATTTGTATTTTTAAATAATTTCTATAAATTTTTGGGAAAAAAATTTGAATTACAATCTATAAAATTTTTACTGTCATCTTAAAGTAGATGTATTTCTAAGTACACCAGCAAAAAATAGAGCCTTTTATTCAAAATTTTAAAGGATATACGTCAATATATATATTGGCGCGTTTTGAAATTTGGCATATTTGTTGAAAGCAATAATAGCATCTAATGTGGCTTACGCACTTTGTTAAAATTACTTGAAAGTAGGAACGATGTCACTTTTTTTCCGTTCCTGCACAATGGAAGGGAAAGGAAAATAGGTCGCTATGTATTAAGAAGTTCTCCAAGTGAATTATTCTTGGCGCAAAGTGAAAAAATGCGCCAAGCTAAATTTTTGGATTTCTCCGTAAATTTCGCACCAAATTTTACAAAATTTAAATTTAGGCATAATTTGAGTGGTAGAATTGAAACATGGAAACATTAGTATGATATTTCGGAAAAAGACCCATTTTGTGTCAAAATACAAATGTTAGAACAAGGCTATATATAAATCTAATATAAATCCTAAGTTGCGCTTTCCAGACATGGAAAATGCAATTTGAGTTTCGTCAATCGGCCCAGTAGAACGGACAATATAGAACTGTCTCATTTTTTTTCTTTGCGCAGAGTACATCTTCTCCAATCATTAATTAAATTCTTTCCGTCAGTGTTAGCATCAAGCTTGTTAGACGCACTAAAAACTCCTTACAAGCTATTGTAATACCATTTTTCTTGTCGATAAATCTTCCAGAGGAATAAATGATACTATCGCGTTTTGTTCCTACCACAGCACGCAATACTACACCATGAAATTTTTAATGAGGCTTATTTCAGTCCTGTTACGGAAAATGTTAATGGCGTAGAGTTGTATTTATGAAATAGTAAGCAGAAAAAGAATAGAATTCGCCATTTTAGTATAGTTGTCGTTTTATTTATTTTCTTACACGTACAGTTCTGTAATTTCTGGACTACTGTCTGTCTACAAGAAGAACAGCTCCACAATGTCTGTCAGGTAGCGGTCACTATAGCAACAGGGCTAGTATATTTCAAATGGGGGCGAACCAAGGGCTGCTTTACTTGTTATTTTGTTTTTGGCGACTGTTGGCTGAGGGGAAAAGAGTTTTATCATCCATCTTCAAGATACCCCTACGGAAAATGGGTCAAGGCTACGGTAACAGACAGCTGCAGACTAACGGGCGAGAGTTTTTCTTATGATAGACAGACTGTACATTGTTTTTGAACATAAAATGATTTCAGGCTTGGCCACATACTTAGTTCCAAACAGGATAACTGACGAATTAAAATGCAACGATGAGCCTAAGAATCTGATACAATATACATGGTTGCCATAAATTGTTGTTTCGTTATAAATTTGAGCATTTACTTTTAAATTAAGTGACAGAGTCTCTCTTTCTTAGATTGAATATTTAAAAATTATTACGAAATACAAATAGTTTAAAAAATATATAGAAATGCAGCTTACCTCTCCACCTTCTAATGGGACTACTTTCGAAAATTTTGTTTCACAAATGACTGAATCATCCCGCACAAGAGGCTCCAATGCCTTTTCACCAAAATGCTGCACGCAGTCACTGGGAGTATCAGCAAAATATTGCCACGGTGTGTAGGTCTTTCCATTATCCGTTGAACGTTCTAGGACCCAAACACCTGGCCTCGGCGAATTGCCCATTTTGATAAAAACGTAAGCCACGTGGAATTCCTGAAGAAAAAATGTATACAATCGCAGTTACAATAAAATATAATAATCATTGAAAACATATAGAAAGCAAGATGAAGTAAAAAAACTTTATGGAATATTATAAAAAAGTAAATACAGTATAAGTCTAATTATCCGAACTCCGACCATCCGAATCGCTTTCAGTGTTTAAGAAAAAAATTGAAACGGAAACGTAGTGTTGGGCAATCAAAGATTTCAGACATTAAAAGGAGCAAATCTCCTTTAATTAACCTTTTAAACTTCGTGGCACTGCTTGAAAACGAAGATGGAAGTTCTTCAAGAAAGTCAATGCAGCAACAAACAAAAATTTTGAAGACGTCGTTTTTAAGCGGTTTCTGTAGCAACGTTCTATGGGAAACCCAATTTTGGGTACGATTCTTTGTAAAAACGTTAAGATCTTAGCTCAGAAACTTTGTTGTTCATCCTTTAAAGAAAGTAACGGCTAGCTAAGAAATTTTAAGTGCAGCCACGGTGTCCATCAAACAGCTTACTTTGACCGAGATGTTCAGCAAATAATGACTTTCAGCACGTGCAAAGTACTGTACAGTACGCTATATAACATGTACACAAAAGTGTGTCCTTTTTATTTTAATTAATTAAAACTCTTTTTCTTTAAAAATGGTTTTTTTTCTCCCATTTTAAACATACAGTAATTAATTAAAGTGTATGCAGACCCTTTCTTCGGAAAAAATCTAATAATCCGAATAGAGTCCGACCCCAAATGATTCGGATAATTGGAGTTCTACTGTAACTGAATTTCCCATTTTAAACATACAGTAATTAATTAAAGTGTATGCAGACCCTTTCTTCGGAAAAAATCTAATTATCCGAATTTTTTATTATCCGAATAGAGTCCGACCCCAAATGATTCGGATAATTGGAGTTCTACTGAAACTGAATTTTCCATTAAACTCATGCATACTAGTTTAACTGAGGTAGAGTACTACAATACAATTTATGTTATGGGAACTGGATTTAAAGGGTCTATGCTCAACATCTAGAAGATCTGCGCGATGTTACCAAGATTTGGCGAAAAATCATCAGATGTTGGCATTTTGCAGGTGATATCTCAAATAAAAGATGAGATGTGATACTGAGGTTCCGTTTAAAGTTAGGAAATAAGAGACGTTCATTCTCTCGAAAGGTTCGGTTTATTTAATTATGGCAAAGCACTCGAGGGCTATCTCCTAAGGGACGGGATGCCTTCATGGAAGATTTCCAAAGGCAAACTGGTTCGTATGCACTTTACACATTGGGAAGACGATGAAAACGGCCATGCAGCCAGTCCGTTTCCGGGATTCGAAACCCGGACCGAACTACCGCTGTTCAGCGACTTCGGCTGCTGGTTGGCCCTTAAAGGCTAAAAGAGTTATCATGCTACATTGACTAGTTTTAATATTAAGTACTCTTGACAATCATAGCCTATTAGGCTACAGAAGATTCACGACATATTGCAGTTTAGAATAAATGTGCAGCCGAGCAGAAGTTAGTTCTCTAAAACTTCTCAGAAAGAAGAATTAAAAGGAACATTATTTTCACAACAATATTCATACGCGGGGTACTGCCCGTGTCATTTTTCAACAAAACAATGCTTGATGTGAAATACACAGCTCCGGGCGTTGCAGATAAAAAGGCGCACCCCCCCGTAGAGTGTTGTCATTTTTTTATTTAAAAGAAATTCGCCAAGTGAATTATTCTTGGCGCAAACTAAAAAAGAGATACCAAGATAAATTTGTGAATTTCTCCGTAAATTTCACTCCAGATTTTACGAAATTTAATATTTAGGCGTAACTTGAATCGTAGAATCGAAATATGAAAAAAAATGGTATGTTACTTCAGAAAAAGGTCCCATTTTGTGTCAAAATACCTATATTAGAACAATGCTATATATAAATCTAATATATATCCTAATTCGCGCTTTTGAGACATAAAAAACGAAATTTGAATTTCGTCAATCAGCGCAGTAGAACGGGAGATAGAGAACTGCCCCCCTTTTTACTTCCTTGTACGAAGTAAAAAAGAAGTATTGTAATGGCGAAAAGTTTCAGGCAGCATATTTCAACGAAAATATCCATTTTGACCGCTATCGAATGCAATTTAACGATGTTTTTGCGTGATATCTGTGCGTAAGGACAGAATAAAAGACTCTTTTCCTTCCTATATATATATATATAAAACTGCTTTAAAAGGAATTCTGAAGAGAATTTTTCGTGGCGTCTGTACCAACTTATGTATGTACGTACGTACGTACGTATCTCGCATAACTCAAAAACGAGTAGCCTCAGAACGTTGAAATTTTGTATATTGGACTACTATAACATGTAGATGTGCACCTCTTATTTTGGTTGCAATCGGTAATAAAAATCGGAAATAAAGGTATATAAATATAGTTATAAATATATCCACTCTGTTACCCGGCTCAGTGATCTCAGTTTCTTTACTCTTATATGTTTGTAAATTGTACATTTTTTGCTTTAAAAATGATTGAATTATGTTGTTCTTATCTCCCGGTTAAGGTTTTTATGCTTTTAGTAAATCTGTATGCAATATTTTTAGAATTATCAACAATTTAAAAGTTGTTTAAGTGCCGATAAGCCATGTGTCAACGATTGGGTAATTCTTTAAATGATATAAATTTTGTGTATTCTGAGTTATAATATGAACGAAATATAATACTGTTAAGTGAACCTAGCACCAGAGAGTCGCTATGGTAAACAAATAGAGTGAATTTTAAAGAATGCATTTATTCTATTGTGGTTTATGCGCTGTCGGCGAAGTAGATTTAATTCAATCCAATAAGTTTAAACGAAACGCAAGAAAAAATGCGTATAATTTAATATTCCGTACAAGGAAGTCATGTGGTGTACACATCAGATTTTTTTAGTAGTGTACATACTTTTCCAATTTTCTGTCGTATTTCCATAAATTTCCAGAGAAAGCATTCAGCTGGTTTCGCTAAGCCCGCTATGATCCATCATTCATTGTTCATCGCATTTCTCTACTGCACATACTTTGTTTTTGTTTTTTACATTCTTATTACCAGTTGCACTTATTTCGAAGCTGGCAATTTAGTGCACGTAAGCACTTTTGTTTGTTGGTCTTTGTTTTAATTTTGTGAATCTTAAATAATTAACATGAGGTGTCTCAGTAGCCTTGGATTTGTCTACAAAACAAAAAGTTAAATTTCAGAAATTGCTTTCAGAAAAACTATTTTTAAACCATACGATAAGTTGACAACTTACTGTTCGAGAAAAGAAGTAATTAAACAGGAAATTAAGTAGACAGACTTCATTTTATGAATACTTTAATAAGTTAGGATGTATCATGAATTAATAAATAATATATTATTAGGCTTTTGTAATTTAAAAAAAAAAAATAAGATTTGTTTTCCACATGTTAAAATATTATTTACCTACAGTATTTAAGAAAATTAAACATAAAATAAATTCTTCAGTGAGGCTTTTTTCCCGCTTACAGTACACTCTATATATTTAGTTCCTAATTTAATTAATATAATGCTAGTAATAAACCGATATACGTACTTCTGCTATAGTATTTTTCTTTAACAGACACCCAAATTGTTAAATAGCCTAAATCTATTATGCAAATTGATAATCACAACATGCGATACATATCGCCTATGGCAGTGGTTCTCAACCTTTTGACTAACGCGTAGCATCTAAACAAAAATTCAGAAACTTTAGTACCACCAGTACATTTTACAATGATTACTTTTCAGTTTCTCAATAGAAATATTAAAACAAAATATAGTTTGCCATTTGCACAACCTGTTGGCTATATTAAATGTGCACACATAAAAATATATTAAATTAAAAATCGGTTACCATTTTAATTATTAAAATTTAAGTTATAATAGTCTAATTCTAAAATTTAGTGTGAAATCTGGACCTGTTTAAGAGAGATCAATTTCTTTATGTCTGATCTTATTTCCCTTAACTTTAATCGCAAATTAGGATCCAATTTTAATTTTGCTCTGTGTTGCTTTTCCAAATAAAACTTGGAAGGAAATACTTATTCACGCAAATAGGTTGTGGAAAAAGGCAATAAAAATTTAACAGCTTTGTTTGAAACACCTTTAAATTCTTTTTTTCTGCCCAAAGTTAACAAGTGTGTTATTTTTGAAATCTTCAGTTAGAATTAGATCACAGGAAATTTCTATCATTTTTTCGTTTTCTTCGCGAGATCTTTGAACTTAGTAGTGAAAAATACTTTGTTTCTTCGCGTACCACTTATTTTTCCCTTGCGTACCACCAGTGGTACGCGTACCACCGATTAAGAATCGTTGGCCTACGGTGATATTAGGGTCATAGGTATTCTAACTGAAACGTAACCGCCTTCACAAAAAAATTACAATCGTGTCAAACCTGCTGAATGGTCCTCTTAGAGAGGGTTTATTCTATTCCTATACATTACTTACATAACTTCTCCGGATATTTAGGCATTATAAATCGCTCCTTAGTTCTGTAGCCTTCAATCCGGGTCATAGCGAAAGTCACGTGATGGATTGGATAGCTAAGAGTCATCCTCTTTTTCCGAGAATACATTCTTTCTCCCCAAACGCGAATTTTTTTTCCCGTCATCTGGGCTACGTGACTCGTCTAAGAGGATTTCCCTTATCTAGTGAGAAACGTTTCTTATCGTCTACCCACACTAGAGGCCCATAAACACGGTCCGCCGAAGTCTGTCAAACTGCGTTAAATTCAGATCAGCTCAGGCGAAAGTGTTCATAATTTGGAGCAATTTCAAACACATTCTTAGCCAAAAGATAACAGTATTAATTAAGCTAAATTAATAATCATTATCCGCTATTATATTTTCTGTATATTATCAGGAGTAATTATCCGCTATTATATTTTCTGTATATTATCAGGAGTAATTATCCGCTATTATATTTTCTGTATATTATCAGGAGTAATTATCCGCTATTATATTTCAATCAATTTTTGTGTATTTTTTAAGAT